GATAAGAAGACTGAGGACGGGCGCATTATGCAGCCCTGGGCAGCGAAGCCAGGGCACGAAGTCAACGAGAATTGGAGGGTCGCAGGGCCGGACCAAGATATGAAAGGTGAAGTAAGGATCATAGCAAAAAGAGGCAAGAGGTCAAGAGCCGTACAGCTGGGACTCGCCGGGAAGAAGACCTGGGAGGAACTGAAGGGCAAAGAGCCAGGCGGCTTTGCCCCCGAAGGTAAGTCTCATTCCAACTTCTGCAAGTTCTCAGCTCACACTGCGCAGGATGGATACCGTACCACAACGACATGGCCGACGCGGTCGCGTGGATATATGGGGGCCACGGCAGAAGGATACAACTGGCCAACGCCGCTCTGAACAGTTGACTACATGGCTTCACAACACAGCCGGTTTACGCGCCCTGGATGTCGACCCAAACGTAAGGGTGGCTGGCGGCCGGATCCATGACCATGCAAGCCCTTGTCGGCATTTAGGCTGTATGCACCCGACACTAGGGTACGGCAAGTATAATTTCCTAGACACGTTCCTACACGCCTCTAGCACGCGGCGTAGCGCGCAAATAGCACAAGGTGGCTGAGATGTCTTACACAACGCGCTGTGATGATGAGGCAGAGTGGTGCGCGACAGGACAGATGCTTCGGCGAGCAACAGAATGCAGTGTGTATTGGAAGGGTACAGCTGCATTATTGTGAGTGATTGTGCACGACTATTGTGATACCGAACTGGATTTCCCTTTCCCTGCCGTCTACATCATCGCGTAGTATTGTAGTACAAACGCTCGCTAGTCCTCGTGGCGTGTACACCCGCGCAACGCTCTCTTCGCCGCTGCTCTGCAGTGAGCGAGGGACTGCCCGTTTCGCGCATCCCTTCGCTTGTCCGAAGTGAAGGAAGGCGCCTTACAAATACCACTAGGCACTACACGCGGTTGCCTCTGAACGACGGTCGTCTTTTCACTTCCTCAACACGGGACCAAAGACGCGGCACTGCGCATCGCTTGATTGTAACAATTCGGCCGCCTGCTCTACCTTGTCAGGCTTCTTATCCTCATTCTCATGCGCGATAGCTTTCCGCTACACCGGTTCCCGCCAACATGGTAGGCACACTGCTCTGCGCAAGCCAACCAATCACTGACGGTCACTAGATCCAACTACTCGCCATCGTTCTCATGTCTGCTCTCCACGCTGGACCGTCAATCGCCCAGCAGTATCCACTACCTGTAACCTATGACACCGTTATCAAGTCGCCTGCAGACCCGCGCATCACCATATCCTACAAATCACCCGACGCCCACGTATGCGCAACGGCGTTTGAGACGCAGAAGCAGTATACTGGATATGTCAACATTCCCCCGTTCACGCTGTCGCCGGCCGAGCAAAACTACCCAATCAACACCTTCTTCTGGTTCTTCGAAGCACGTGAGAATCCAGAAACCGCTCCGTTGACCATCTGGCTCAGTGGAGGACCTGGAAGTTCGAGCATGATTGGTCTCTTCTCAGAACTGGGTCCATGCGAGCTGGTAGAAGGGCCAAACGGCAGCTACGCCTCTCAGCCTAGGGTTTGGGGATGGGACCGCAGCTCCAACATACTCTTCATCGATCAACCTACACAAGTCGGCTTCTCGTACGATGAGCCCGTCAATGTTTCGGTCGACTTCAGCAAAGGCTATTGGGCGGATCTAGACCAGCGTATGGAACCTTCTCCCCTTCCCGCCGACATCCCGGAATGGCGCTTCAAGAACGGCACTTTCCCCTCTGCCAGCTCTAGGAAAACCGAGAACTTGACCGTCATTGCCGCGGATTCCTCATGGCACTTCCTTCAAGGCTTCTTGTCAGCCTTTCCCCAGTACAATCCCGGTGTTCGATCCGACAGCGACACCGTCAACCCCTCTGAGATAAACCTGTTCGCTGAGAGCTATGGGGGTGTTTATGGTCCTGTCTTCGCAGATCACTACGAAGAGCAGAATGATCGTCGAAAGAAAGGCGATCTTCCGGCTGAAACGTTGGAGATACGCGTTGGTTCAGTGGGCATCGTCAACGGTATCATGGATGTTAGGACGTCAACAACCTCGGGCTTGCTCTTCGCATACAACAATACCTACGGCATCGAAGGCTATGATCTCACAACTTATCAAAACGCGATATCAGACGTCTACGCAGAAGGGGGTTGTGTAGATTTGGTCGACCAGTGCGCTGCTTCGGCAGCTGCCAATGATCCCCAAGGTCTGGGTACCGTCCAGGAAGTGAACGACATTTGCGTAGCTGCGCTCTTAACATGCCAAACAAACGTTGGCCCCGCCTATCTTCCTGGTAGAAGCATCTACGACATCCGAGCTCTCCCGACTGTTGGCCCTAGTGACGCACTTGAGACGTACCTTAACGAAGAACACATTATGCAATCCGTGGGGGCTCCAGTCAACTTCACTTCTACAAATAACATGGTGTTGGATGCTTTCAGTTACAGTATGAAACCATGCCCTATCCTCGATTCTATACGCATCTACCTTGCTAACCATGTATCTAGACGGAGACTCTGCCCGCGGAGGCGCGTTGGAGGCCGTGGCAGACCTGCTCGCCCGCGGCATCAAAGTCGGCCTCATCTACGGTGACGCGGACATCATATGCAACTGGTATGGAGGGCAGAACAACTCTCTCGAGATTGCCAGTCGTGTGCCTGGCTACGAAACGGCTTTCAAGGAGGCTGGATATGCGGACATTCAGGTGAACGAATCTTACGTTGGCGGCGCTGTTCGTCAACATGGCAACCTGTCCTTTTCTCGCATCTACGACTCCGGCCACTACGTCCCGACATTCCAGCCAGAGACCGCCTTTACCGTCTTCAGTCGTATCATTCATGGCGACGATATCAGCACCGGTCGCGACGTCGATCTGTCCAGCTTCAGTACAGAAGGCCCTAGCACCTCTGAGCACAGAAATGACCCAGGAGAGAGCCCTCCATCCATCTGCTGGATTCGTCAAGCAATCCTTGCCTGCACGGAGGAGGAAAACGCAGCTATCATCGCGGGCAATGGTACCGTGAAGGCAGGCATCTGGTATCCATCCGAGGGGGACGTGCCGACTAGCGCGGGTGAATCCAAGCCGCAGCCCACTGCGACGAACTCGGTGCCAATGACTGGAGTGTACACCGCTACCGGCGACCAGAAGGTTAAGCAGACCTCTGGAGCATCGGCACTCCGATTCAATCTCCCGTTTAGCCGTTCGCGCCGTGAAATCGTAGGCGATCCATTGTCTGAACCGGGGGATTCTCGCGACAAGGACAGTAGCATCAGGAATGGGCTCATTGGTGGTCTCGCTGCAGCGGTAGCTCTGTTTCTGTGAGTGCATAGCACTCTTCCCATATCTGTCATATAGACCGCCTTGCACACTCATTCGCGCAATTTCTCTTCACAAACATCACCTTATAGTTACGGCCGCGCTTTCTCTTCTCAGACCTACCTTTTACTGAATGAATATATACAGAGGTTTACTTTCGATGCTGTGCTGCTGCCGTTGCTTCAGACGACGTAAAGTCTACGATGGACCTTTTCCTGATGATGCTGAGAATGGTCCAATTGTTGTCGAGCAAGTGATTGATGATGATCCAACGCCGACGCCGACGTCAACCATTCTCGGTCGGCAAATAACGTACATGGAGTCGATACCAGAAGCAAGCCCTAGACCAAGCGACGATCTCAGAGACAGAGCAGCGGCTATGTTAACCAAGCCAGCACCAATGCCAACCGCAGAAGAGGAAACTTCTACCGCGCCCGTGCAGCGATCACTCTCCCCGTCGCAAGATGCAAGCCTATCACCGCGCGTCCCAACTACCACACCTACAGAAGCCTCGCTTCTCCCTCCCAACACAAGCATTGTGGCGCGTCCCCAACTCTCGTCCTCGGTGTCCGTGCCGCCAACCAACCCGCCGCCCTTACAATCCTCCACCCCAACACCGCCAATCAGTCCGCCCACGCCCCCACCACCACATGCGACACCACCTGTACCTGAGCCAACACCGTCTCCGGCCCTGACTCCTGGGTCAACGGCCATCCCTTCGTCTCGCTCACCCCTGCGTACGCCTCCGAGTAATGGCCCGGCACCACATGACCTGTCGCCAAAGATAGAAGGAGAGCACGGCCCAGAATCGCCACAGCCGTCGCTATTTTCGCGGATTAAAACGATGCTCTTGCCTAGTTCCTCGTCGGCTGATGTGGAAGGGGGCGCAATGACTGATGGTACGATTGATCGGCGTGTGCTGAACCCGCGGGTTGCTGTCAGACCGGCACAGAAGCGTGTGACTAAGGCTGCGGTGCCGAGTTGGTCGACTGAGGTGTGGTTTTGACGGGGTTTGGGGTTGGGAAGTGCGTTGGTATTGGTTGGTTGTTGGTATGCGAGTGATGGACGGGTAATGATAATGCTGGGAGGCGATGCGTGACGTTGCGAGTGTAAGGGTGAGGGTTGGGCATAAAGTATGGGTGGTGAGTAGCAATACATCCTCAATTTTCGAACGACTTCATCCCGGGTCGTTTTTTTGAAGCATGTTTCATAATCTGCATCGCCATCGCGCTTACGAACCCACCTCATTTGAGGTAAGAATTGGAGAAGTGCCCTGCAGCCTACATTGATTTCAAAAGTATTTCTGTAACATGGTAAGGCAACTCAGCCTTCTTAGTTCTTCCTTATAATTGCACTTTGTAAAGGTAGGTGTCCAGATTTTCCCTTAATATGGGTGAGCCTGGAGCGGTAGCTTTTCGCAAGACAGATCTTAAAAAGAAGATGCGCACGATGGGATATTGATTACTATTACACTTTGATAAGATGATACTTCAGCAGCGAGCCTCGGTGGATGTTGGCATTGCAGGATGGCACAGGAAGACCGGAGGATTCATGCAACGTATGCGAAGCCGTGGAACCAGGAGAGGAAACAGTAGAATTGTGGCCCAACGCCGCGCTGTTTTTGAGAACGTCGATCAAACATGCGAGTTTGAGGCCCTAAGTCTAGGTGTCCCAATTAATCGGCCACCGTTCCGTCTCGCTCTTCATGGGCTCAATCAGCTTCTCTGGAATCCATTCCCTCTCTCTTGACCCCCTAAATGGTATTGCAGCGATGTAAGCTGGCCGAGTGATGTGGGCTGCATGGCCCAGGACGTCTTCCATCTCTGTCTCCATATCTGTCTCCATATCTGTCTCCATATCTGTCTCCGTATCTGTCTCCGTATCTGTCTCCGTATCTGTCTCCATATCCCTCGGCATTGTTGGTGAAGGCTCGTCGGGCATATCTGAGTGTTCTAGGTGAATGTGAAATCTCGGCGTTCCAGGTATCTTCCAATGGTCATCTATCCAGTGCGCGCTCTTGATGTTATTGCGAAGTTGCTCTGCCTTCTGGGCCCATGTAGACAGCATTTCGGGTGCGAGGCTGTGTAATGCGTCCAGGAGGTCAGCGACGCGGATTCCATCATCCCGTCGAATTCTCCTCATGAGCGCATGGGTTGTCCATAGCGCATGGGTTCCCCATGGCGCATATAATCCCCATTCTGTCAATTCATCTGTGCTATACTGATATATCCCCAGACTCCGGCATGGTGGGTGTGTGACCTGCATAGATGATATAGCCTTTATGAAGAGCTTTGTTGAGACCGAAGAGTTGAGCAAGAGGGTGTCAAGCGTGGGAGAGGTGCGTATGCTGATCTCCCAGCGACCTAGGCGCTGCAAGATGCGATCTTCTTCCGAAAACAGCAAGCAGAGGTAAGGATTTATTTCGAGCTGACTGAGATCTAACCAGTAGGGAGGCTCTAGTTGGGGTGGGTAATGGAAGTTATCGTTGGCTTGACGGCGATTCAAGTCGAAGAGAGAATGGACGGATGTCTCTGGAAGGTCGCGCAGCTGGGTGAAGCGAGCTGGAAAGTAGATCCATTTGAACTGCTTCCATTTCTGCTTATCGAGCGTGCTTGCAACATGCAAGTTGAATTGCTCAATCTGCTCAGCACTGGGCCTTACGGGCGCCAAGATGTCGTCTTCGATGCTCTGCCCATATTGTATGGGTACACAGCTTGATAGAAAAGGCAACGCATCGTTGTTATTACGGCTGCCTATGACAGAGAGCGCAGAAGCCAGCCATGCTGTCGAGACGACCAACGAGCGGACCTGGGCTTCGGGCCCGGCAAAGTGGAGGATTAGATCAAGCAGCTCAGGAATTTGAAATACTTTGTGTTCAGAGCGGTGATGGGGGCGCCGCTTGTCCGCAGTCTGCACCGTGTGTTTTTCGCGACAACGATATGCGGCTATGCGGGCATTGACATGATCGCCAACCTGGAGTCTCCAGAGCTCTACCACTGATTGTTCTTGTTGTGAATAGGATGGGTGCGCCTCTGGAGGCGTGTTCAGCCAGTCGCGTGTGTCATTCACTACGTGAAGGAAATTGCGGTGTGACTGCTCGAGAGTGTCCGGATTGTCTAGTAGCTGGTGAATAGAAAAAAGGAAATAATCTCTGGGGGTGAGAGGGAAACTAAATTGACCAAAGTACCCTCGCGAAATGACCCCTCGGCCTCGAGCGCGAAAGACAGAGAGACTAAATTCATCGACAATCTCATTTGATGGTGTTGCGGAAAATACGGAGCCCATGATGTGTCGAGTGAGGTGAAGAGTCGACCGTCTTTCCTTGGCCGCAGGAATAGGCAGAATTTAAAAGTCGCAGAAGACAGTTTGCGAGAGGTTGAACTTGTCCAGCTGTCCTTCGTAAGTCCTGTGGTTTGCTTGTTGGAGCCTTGGCGCTAGCTACTAGAATTCGGGTTAGCACAGAGATCCGACATCCGGACATCTGGATGCGCCTGGGGCCAGACCAGCCCCCGCGGTCGCTCCACAGAAGCCTCCACCCATCGCGGCGTCGCAATCCCCAACTCCTAGAAATCTTTGCCAGCCGCACAATACGTTCCCGTCACGCACAGTCTAATGTCACCTGCTCACAAGCGCTGATGGCGCTCTCAGAGCTCTCTCGCGAGCGGCAACGCTGTCGGCGGTGGAATCTATGACGCCGGCCTACGACTGCGCCTGCGTTAGTGCACGTAGCGCTGGAGCTGCGCACTTCTGCAGCTGCTTGTACTAGCTGGCACGTCTACTCTACCACCCTCGGCAGGGTGAAATGTTGCAATCGCCGTGTTCACTGTCACTTGTCATATCGCGAACGCGCGCTTGCCTGGTCGTTACTAGCTCAAGCTGTCTTCAGGTCTGTCTAACGACCGGTCATCGCCCACATAGCTCCGATGCAAGACACGCACATCTTTCCGCACTATGTAGAAGTGCGGAGCGATCCGCCGATGAAGCATAGCTCTTCATTCAAGAAAGAGGAACTAAACGCCCTAGAGCCTACATCGACGTTAGGTTGCCTGCTTTGCGTGTTTCTATCTCAATGTAGGCTACAGACCCGTTCAATTATTTCCTCACATGAGGTGGTAGCGAGCAACGAGCCACTGGAACCCTGACAACCCAAGTCATAACCATGGAAGCAGATGTGGAGCCGCAACTGAGAGATCCCGTGATGGTAAGCAGGTTGGTGGTATGAACCGACAGTACTGTTTGATAAAATAGGCATGCCATACGATCCCGGAAAGTCTCTCCTCGGATATCTTATCGACACCCCCAAATTATCTGCCTCAACATAATGGCTACATTCGCGGCAATGAACATCATCACGACAGGGGCGGCCATAACCTCGTCAGGCAGGGTCGCACCCATAAGGCGTACCCACGGCAATCTTATCGAATCTCGCGATGAAAGACACTTCTGCTTGGAGGAAAATAATTCATATCTGCAAGCGATTATAGAGTGGTGGCACAATCTCAGGACACAAAGGAAATACCTTCGCATCGCGAACCGCAATCATCGAGAGTCTGCACTATACCGTCTACCTAACGAGCTTCTCGAGCAAATCGCCATGTACCTCCCTCTCCCCGACCTTCTAACGCTCGTTCGTACTTGCAAGCATACCGCAATCTTGCAACGCCGACGTTATTTCGATCAACCCGCCCTACTGGTATACTGGCGACGCATGAGGCGCGATGTCTTCGCCTCTCGACTGATGCTCGAGAACAAAAGCTGGGATCTGCCTGGGATGCTGTGGTGCGACCGTTGCAGCGAGTTCCACCCAAGGACTGATTTCGCGAAGAGTTTGAGAGATGCGCCAGACGATGGGAGGGAGTGCCAGTTCGCATCGACTGCATGGAATCACTGGTGTTTCCAGCGTCGAATTGGTGTGCCGGAAAGGGTGTGAGATTAGCCTAAGACTTGCAGGAGTTATCGATCAAATCAGAGATGCTGCAGCTACCAACGGACTGAGGCTATGTTGATGCTAGGCTTGGGGAAGGTCAAGAGTGGCAAAGTGAAATCACGCATACCGCTAAGAGGATGGCAGATCTTCCAGGTCTGATTCCGAATCATTGTTGATTTAGGAGTGAAACGGGAGAATCCCATCTGTCATTGATCAAAACAATAACTTTGAAGATCTATATTGTAACTAAGTTGGAACAAGGAGGCTTTCCCATATGTTCACCTCGTGTGTGAAAATGAAGCTTACGAGCTGAGTATGCCTGTTTTAAGGAGAAAGAAATGAAGGAAAATAGTAGCGTGCCAGTGATGCATCGAAGAACCGTACGAATTCTCATAACTCTCACGCATCCCAGTTGATATTTGAACGTCCACACTCGGTCTTCATTGGCTCAAAGAGCTCCTCAGGCAGCCACTCGCCTTCTTTCGTCGCTCTAGGCGGCTCCGCTGACATATAGGCGGTGCGGGTGATGTGAGCTTGGTATCCTAGAGAAGCACCAATGAGTGTCTCGGCATCTCTTGCCATTTCCGGTGTCCAGACAGCGGTGGCATATGATACCTCGTCTGACATATCGCAATTATCTAGATGTATGCGAAACCTCGGTGTGCCCGGTATCAGCCAAACACTATCGACCCAGTGTCCTGTCTCTGTCACGTTCCTGCGGAGGTGCTCGGCGCACTTGACCCATTTGGTCAGTAACTGAGGTGCGCAACTTTGGAGAGCATCAAGAAGCTCAGCAACTCGTATACCGTTGCTGTTGCGAATCCTCCTGAGTAATATGTGCGTGCCGTGCATCGGAAACACGCAGTTGTCGTAGCAGTATATACCTAGACTTCGACAAGGCGGGTTTGTGATGTGCATTGATCCAACTGCTTGAACCAGCAGCTTCTCCGACGACGAGTCGTCTAGGACGAGTGTCTCAGATGTCGCGTTAGAACGTAGGCCAATCTCCCATCTACCAAGGCGATGTAGCATACGGCCCTTTTCTGAGAACAATAGGTCGAAGTAAGGGTTGATCTGAAATTGCGACAGGTCGAGCCAGTAGAGGTCTGTAGTACGGGATACTGTGTGTATGCTGCCGTGGTAGTCGCCGTGACGCTGACCAACATCCAATTCGTTGAGAGATTGAGCAATCCCATTTGGCAGATCATCCCGTTGTGCCAGCTTGGCTGGGAAGTACACATATCTCCGCCGATACAACTTACGCCACCAACTGACCATGTGATCAACATGAAGACCGAACTGCTCAATTTGCTGTGAATCTGGCTCTGGCAGAGATCTGGTGGTATCGTCGAGAAGTTGTCCGTATTCAACGGGCGGAAGAGGTGCCAGAGAACGGAATGTTTCCATATTTTTGGGGTTTGATATAACAGATATCGCAGAGAAACGCCAGTTAGTTGAGACCTGTTGCGCTCGGATTTGAACTTGTGGACCTGCGAACGAAAGGATCAGGTCCAGTAGTTCTGGAATCTGGAACACCTGATGCTCTGTACGGTTGATCGGTCGGGGCGCCGGCGACACACTGGTTTTATGTTGCCTGGATACGCAACCCATGCTATAACGTGAGATGCGCATCGTCATATGGTGGTTGACCTGCTGCCTCCAAAGCTCCAACGCTGATTGCTCAGCTTCTGAGTACGAGGGAGCTTTTCTTACTGGTACATTTGCCAGATCTTTCTTCTTGTATGCCTGGAAGATTATCTCCAACTCTCTAGCAGTGAGTCCCTGTATATCGCGGTCTGGCTCATAGATCGAGTGTAGGAGGAGATCTCTGGGATCAGCAGCCGGCTTGGACTGGTCAGCTTCGATAGGCAGGATCGTGGATACCGCTGCACTCATGATGGCCGAGTCGGGGGATGCTTCGTGAAGATTAAGCTTGGGCGAAAGAGGGATGATAAAACACTCCCAGAAGAAGTGAGCGAAATTTAGTTAAGGGTTTTTCGCTTTGCCAGCTGTCCTTTGTACGTTCCACGGTCGCTGGCCCCGGGGTACCACCAGAGCATTAGTCAGAATGGAGCTTAGCTTCCATACACGCCCGTCTGCGCCAATCTCCCCGCAATCGTAACTTTAACCCACACTCTTGCCTAGACTTTCGCGCTCGCCATGCTGTCTCAACGCCAACATCTACGTCTCGCGATATCCCTGGACCTATGCACATCCAAGACCGCCTCGACTGCGCGCGCGCTCCGGCGATTACATTTCGCATGCACACCATGGCACCACGTCACCCACCATAGCGACTCGATCGGCGCACGACTTGTCAGCGTGCGCTCCTCACCACACACCTAGCCGGCCCTCAAGACTTCGCCCTCGCTTCGATGGCGCGAACAGGCAGGACTATCCTGGCATTTCGTATTCCGAGATTACACCACTTCAGGCGCTTCCGGCTGCCTCTCTAGGCTACGGCTGGTAATCCTCTACCTCTACACTCTGAGCCTCCAGCCTGGACTGACTTTCGCCGCAGCTTCACTGAGCATTAACCGCCTTCGTCCTTTTCTATGAAGGTGTCTGCGCAGCGATCTATATTTTCTACCGATTGCTTTCTGTAGCGTATCCTCGAGCACACGCCTGCTCAGGCGCACGCCCTGCTCCACTGTCGCAGCATCGATGTACAAGTCCGCCGACTGTCGCAGGTTCCAGAGCCTTACCATTACTTCCATGGCGCAGACCTTTAAGCGCGTCCAAGGCTGCTGCCCAGTTCGTCTTGCCGTCACCGCCATTCGTCGTCCTCTGAGTCCCCGCCACTCGGTCTCTACCTCGCGCAGCCTACCTCGCGCAGCCTACCTCGCGCAGCCTACCTCGCGCAGCACACCTCGCACACGGCAATGTCACTTTCTACTAGCTCTTCTTCGCGTCACTTCACCGAAGATCAGGCGCATATGTTCACTGCTTCGATTGCGCAGCGCAACATTGGCGACCGATAACGCCGCCGCGACCGCCGATTGCCTCAAAGCTCGCCTCGACGAAACGACGATTTGCGCGCCTCGAACACAGCGCCTCGAACACAGCGCCGGCAACGATCACATGTCACCTTTCATCACGCGCCCGCTCACCGTCAAGGCAGCAGCGTCCACGCTAAGCCTCACTACCGAGCCCATCGCCGTCGTCTATATCCAACGTCCCTCCCAGCTTTTCCAACCGTCTCCTCTACACCCCACCCCACCACACCCACCGCGCAACAATCAAATCCCACCTTCCACCACGCGCTCGCCTTCAAGGCAATAGCGGCCACGCGAAGCCGCGCTATCGAGCCCGTCGCCATCATCCATATGCAGCGTCCCTCTCAGCCTTGTCGACCGTCTCCTCTCCATCCCACCCCATCCCACCCGCCGCGCAACAATCATATATCATCTTCCATGGCCTTCCATCACGCGCTCACGCGCTCACCGTGAAAGCGTCAGGGTCCACGCTAGGCCTCGCTACCGAGCCCGTCACCGTCGTTTATATACAAAGTCTCTCCCAGCTTTTTCAACCGTCTCCTCTACTCCCCACCACACCCACCGCGCAACAATTAAATCGACTATCTTGCCCCCGCGCTCAACACATTACTCAGATGCGCTCGAGCCCGTACGAACAATCGCGCGGCGCACCACAACCCGATATCAAAGACATGGTCTGACTGACCACCCACATTCACCAAGGCCTTCACCGTCCGCCCCATCCCCGCGACTCCGCACTCGCTTTCTTAGTAAAGCATCTACCCAACATGGAGGTCCTTCGACACCTAGTTGTCCAGTCTGTACCAACACTTGGATTCTCTTTCTTCATCACTTGACCTCACCTTGACTCACCTTGTCTTGGTCAACACTTGGACTCTTCCTTTATTAGTACTTGGACTTCCTTTATAAGTACTTGGACTTCCTTCATCAGTACTTGGACTCTTCCTTCATCAGGACTTGGACTCTTCCTTCATCAAGACATGGACTTCCTTCATCAGTACTTGGACTCTTCCTTCATCAGGACTTGGACTCTTCCTTCATCAAGACATGGACTCTTCCTTCATCAACACTTGGACTCTTCCTTCATCAACACTTGGACTCTTCCTTCATCAGTACTTGGACTCTTCCTTCATCAACACTTGGACTTCCATCAACAGCACTTGGACTTCCATCATTACCAACACAACACCTCATCACCATGTATGTCCTTCGACACATACTTGCTTTGAGGGATCGACATGGACCGTGCACGCCATTCCTCTTTATCTTGTCGCTCGAAGCTTGACCTTTCCATGGTTCATAGGGATCACATGACCTGTTGCCTATTGGTTGAAGCCAGATTTCACTAACGCTCGCTAGCAGAGATGTGGCCACAAGTCTATACTCAAAAAGACTCGATCGCCGCTGCTCCCATCCCATCTCACACCACTTCAAACACACTACTGCAAGCCACCATGTCGATCCTACCTACCAACAACCTGGACAACTCAACCAACCCTGCCAACGTTAAGCAACTAGTAAGCCTTACTACCTGCAAGAAGAAAAAAGCTAACCTTGTAGGGCATCTTCTGCACACCCTGCAGCAACTACAAGACCTCCGACGCCTTCCCCCGCCATGTCAAGCCCGCTTGCCACCATCTCAAAAAGCGTGGCTTCATCTGCGTTTACGCCGAGTTCGCCTACCACAAAGCAGTAGAGGCGTACGAACTCCTCTCAGAACGCCACACTATCGCTGGGGACCCTGCATTTGCAGCTGCCCTAGCCAAGGTCAACCTGTGGCTGGACATCATGTTGGAGCAAAGACCTGAGGTCCAACACTATCGGGTGGAGGAGAATATAGCTTAGTCATGGCGTTAGCAAAACTTGGGCCATAAGAGAGATACGATGAATGCAACCTTTTTGAGCTGAGAGCTCTGCAACTCTTTGCCACCAGTTTTCGCCTCTGGCTTTGGCGTGAAAGAACCCAAATAGTCGACGAGGCATGGTGGCCGGCGACACGAACGCGAATCAGAATGTCGCATGGCGTGAAGAGTTGAGAGAGGAAGAATTCAGCGCTGGGCTTTGTCGGGGTCGATAGGTGGGATCGCGCTCGCCTGGGTGGAACGCGAAGGTGGGGGTGTAGGTCAGTCGGTGTTCAGTTGTGCTGGCGCAAGTAAGCGCACCGCTCCGCGTTGAGTGATGGGTCGACACGACGACAGTATTGATGAGAGCCATCACTGGGTGCGGACGCGAGATGGCGTCGACAGGACTCAAGTGGTTCCAGTGGTTGAACTGCGACAGCGTTAGTTACCATCATACAACAGTACTCAGACATGGGCTGACAGACAAATCCAGTGTGACAGTCATGATGCTGCCGCTGCGCGAGCTCTGTGCGCCCTTGTCCGGGCGGTAAGCGCGCGCCGCCGACTGCGTTGTTGTCTCACCAAGTTCTCTATCGTGAAGATGAGGTCTTGCGACCGAAGACGTAGTTTCACAATTGAGTCGTGGGAGCAAGAGCTCAGCGAAGCTGCTGTGGATGATGGCAATTGGTGGACGCGTGAGAATGTGCGCGAGCTCGATGCGCAAACCGGTGCGACGATGCGCCTTCGTCGTCGACAATATGGTAGTCCGTGTCGGCATTGCACCGAGTTGCGACATGTTCGAGAGAGCGATTGCGACGCGGTGGGGTTGGTGTTGAAGAGAAGGTACAGGGCCAAGTGAGAAAGCTTTTCAGCTCGACGCGACAGCGTGGCTGGTGCTCAAAGCCGCGTACCAGAAGCTTCGGTGATCGGTGAAGGCCAGGCAACAGTCTCTAGGCGCGGTGGTTCAGATGATGTGGATCCGTAGCTGATCGCCTGTCTGCGAGCGCCGGGCCAGTGCTGTTGAGGGAGCTATTGCGCTGCGACGGGCAGGCGGCTGCGACGTTGGCATGGAAGAGCTACAGTGCGCGAGAAGGTTCCGAAGCAGCTACAACAGCGCGACGAGCATCCACCAGAGCGAGCGACAGAGTGAGAATGGGGGTGTGGTGGTGGTGGTGGTGGTGGTTCGGGCAGATGCCTGGGGATACTCACGACGACGAAGACTCTGCAGTCTTGGCGACGCGCTGGACGATCAGGCGCAAAGCGGAGTAGTCATTGCACTCTTGTCGATGCGCAATGAGGACGTAGGCGCCGAGGCAAGACGCTGTTGGGGCTGGGAGAAGAGACGTCCTTGTAGCGACAACAAAGCGGTCGGCGCGTCTGAGGCCGAATGTGTGGGACATGTGTCCTCGAGGGATCAGGCAGAGCTCCAGCGGCAAGCAAGAATTGTCGTGATGGCTGCGTCAAGAAAGGCCCCAAGGGCCGCGAGGCAAGTGTCGGCGATGACGCTCGGGTCGCATGTGAAGAGCGCGCGAGCAGTATCCTGATGACGAGCGCGCGCCATGTAAGACGCCTCGCGCAAATCAGTGTGAGTTCGAGCGAGGTTGTGGGTAGGCGAGGGCGACAGCAATGTCGACGGCCAGGCGATGAACGTGCGACAGCGAAGCGATGCGGCATGGCGAGTGTGCAGGCGCCAGTCCTGGTCGACGAGACTGGTTTGATCGAGCGCGCGCTGTCTTGAAAAGCCTCTTGTCTTGTCGCGTTGTCGATGAGAAGCCGCAAAGTCATAAGGTCAGACATGCGACGAGGGCCTGAGACTTTCAACTGCGCAAAGCTACCTCTCTGTCTTGTCTCCAAGAGCTAGGCACTATACCGCACCGGCGCAATGCCGGGGGCGCAGGTCTCATCTTCTCGGATTACGCGCAGACGGCTTCGCGACTCTCATGCGACAGAGATAGATCGGGGGCTTGTTGTATCGCGCGTTGTGTGTGGGATGGGGGTGAGGGCGAGGGTGGGTTGGCGAAGGTGCTGTCGAAGAGCTTTGCGCAAAGCGATATATGCGCCCGCCTCGCTACGTCATCAAGATTTCCCACGGTGAAGGTAAAGTATTCGGCTAGCGCGCGACTTTTAGGCAACCTCGATTGGTTCATTGCGCGTTGCGTGTGGCATGAGGGCGGGTGTGGGCTGTCGGACGTGCGACTTTCGCGGCGATGGTGTGGTAGAAGAGCTTCAGGCGAACGTTGTCTGCGATCGCCTCGCTGCATTATTCGAATCCCCGGCGATGAAAATGAGGTCTCATCATCTGGCTTGTTAACTCCGGACAACGTCCAATGCAAGGCGACGCGCTTCAACGCGTGCGTAGGTTCATCACCGACGGCCGATGTCAAACGGGTGGCATCATGTTTGTACGCTTGTGGGTTCGCACGACTTCGCGCAAAACTACTCATTGGTAATAGTATATATCACTGACCCATTTCCTTCACGGCCTTCTGCAGGCTGTCCCGTTGTTTGTCCAAGAACTGCTTTGTGGTTTCGGCACATTCATCCGCTTCCTCTGGCTCCATGTTTACCATGAGGGTCCTGTCAACAGGTTGAGCTGCGATACAGGCCGCTCTGTCAAGCAACCCTGCCACCATTCTCGCCCACGCATTTCGCGCCGCCAGTCCAAGTCTCCCCCCGTTTTGCATTTCGCGGATAGTACACGTTTTCACAAAGATACCCTGCACATGTTAACACTAAAGCTGGCCGTTGCGAATACACTTTACTTACTTCGGCAGCGTCCGCAGATGTTGCTGGATTGTATTCACACTGACGTTTGATCTCTGTGCACAAACCCTCTTTGGGTGCTTTGTTTAGCTCCTCCAGCTTCTTCGCAGGTAGCCTGAGAATTGCTAGACCCTGGAGAGATGTCACCCGCGACAACATGACGTAGACACTGCCATTCGACAATGGCTTCCCTGGGATAGATGACAGGTCTACGATGACCTTCTTGAAGGTTTGGCCTTGGCTCTTGTAGTCCGTGATGGCGTAGGCTGGTGTAAGGGGCAGCTGACGAAAGCTCCAGGATCCTTGGTCCTGCCCGAGAGTTGTGGACCCACTTGAAGGAAAGATAGCAATGCAATTCTTGGGCAGTCCAGCTTCAGGCAAGTCTTTGCTCGGCGACTTCAACTCTACGATAACGTACTCAGGAACGTCGAGCAGGGCAAATTCGTCGGGGTTTCCATTCACAGATACGTCCCGGAGCCGTTTACGATCTGCCTGGCTAAGTCCGATGCCGCGAATCCACCCCAAGGTGCCGTTAGTAATCTTCAACTCGACGTGAAGATTCTTGGTGATCTGAATAGGCATACCCAAGTGAAGGTACAGCTTCGACTCCATGTTCTGGTGCTTGGAAGGATTGAGTTGGCGGATCAAGCCCATGGCGCGTGGACCAACCATGGGAGATTTCCTTGTAGGCTTGTAACGACAAGCATAATTGAACAATGTTTGCTTGCAGGCCGAGGCATTTGCTTTAGCACGTCGATAGTTGAATTCGCGACGGACGTTGTGCCTTCTGCAGATCAAAACAGTGTCTGGGTCAGAGAAGTCGCTGAGATCAACCAAGTTCCGGCCGGTCGACTCATCTCCGTTCGTATCGCCCGCCGATTCGGTACCGATCAGTCGAGATTGCAACAAATCCCAGTCTTGTTGCTCTGCGGCGTGGGTACGAATTCTCGAAAGGGTGGCGACGAATTTGATGTTGTCTTCATCCACTTGTTGCTGTCGCATGACTTCATCCAAGATGACCACGTTTGTCAGCTGGCCCCAGAGGGCTCCAGAAGATCGGCGATATTTCCACTGGAAGTTCTTCCTCGCTTTCTCGCCCAACAAGTGATCCCACAAGTTGGTATCACCTACACAGGGCAATTGGTAGAAGTCTCCAAAGAAAAGCATGTCGACGTTGCCGAATGCAGTACCCTGATCATCCGTGTTCTTAGCGCCTGTCAGAAGCTGGTGCATATCGGCCAGTGTACACTGTCCTAGCATCGAACACTCGTCGACAATGACGCAATTCACAACGCTGACTAGATGTTAGAACTCGTAATGCAGCATGGGAGAATTAGACAAGAAACATACCCGAACTTGCGTCGTGCCTCACTCTGCATGCGTTGTGTTCTCGCTGGAGACACTTCCGCTGAAGACTCGCCGCGGCATTTGAGTGAGAAGCTGCTGTGGATTGTACTACCGTTGACTTGGGCTGCGGCTGTTCCCGTGGGAGCCACGATTGCTAGCTCCTGTCCTCTGTTTATAGCCTCATACCAAGCTGTGATAGCTTGAATGACCTTGCTCTTTCCGGTACCGCCCACGCCAGTAATCAAAATGCGTCGTGCTTTGTATGTTTGTCCGTCGCGCATCCGCGCCAAACATGCTTCGATACACAGAAAGAATGCCTCAGTCTGCTTAAGGTTCAACGTCAACTTCTGCTGTATCTTGGAGAACTGCAGCAAACCGTTTTCTTCGAAATCTCGCTTACTTGGCGCTCGGCTATTGTCCATGGGACCAGGTGAATATGGCTCGCCGTCATTCGTGTTGCCTGACGGATCCTTGGCCTCAGAGACGGCACCATTTTGACGCTGCTGTTTGACGAGTTCATTTCGGCCATGAAGGTGGGTACGAGAAGCGTCCGCGAGATTGCGACATACGTTTCTGCGGGTCTCGTCGGTGAATTCGGTGAAGCCACCATCAAGTCCAGGAGTGTTTCCCACGTTCCACCCTTTCGGGTTGTCGAACGCTTTGTTCTTGGTGAGAAGATCCATCGTTTCTTTTAGTTCTCCGCTACGTTCAATGATCGGTCGGAGCGCTTCGTATGCTTCCTCAAGCGCCTCGGGATCGTCTGGGTCGACTGATTGTCCATCCTGTACAGCATCTTTCTCTAGTGCATAGCGTACCATCCCCGGTACACCTTCCATGGCTATCTCTTTCTTTCGTTCCTCTTTTGTCTGCTCCTCCATCTCATTGATCTCCTGG